GAAAGTCCTGCTGGCAGTCATGACACAACACACACACACCTATCAATTTCTTCAAACAACAATGAATTCTGAATTTACATGAATTTGCTGGTGATGTGTTCATTTGGTTTGAAGTAATATACAGCCATTGCAGTCTTGGGCCAGTATAGATATTCATTACTATCCCAAAGTCAAGTTGTTTGCACAGTAACATCTCTCTGTGTTGCAGTTTGACAGTCTGCAGCAACTTCACACTAACTCTGTGAGACATGGAGTTCTGAAGCCACCTGGCACCAAACCAGCTGGGAGGCAGAAACACCTGGAATCAGCCACCTCCAGGCTGAGTTTTCATTTACCGTAACCAAGGAGTTTCATTTAGAGCAAGCACAAACAGAGCTCATTAATGTCAAAAACTACATGATAAAACTGTACACAATAGGAAGAAGTTCCCCGGTAAGGATTAATAGGTCTCAAAGAAGCATTAAGGCAGTAGTTTCTCTATCAGGTAAATGCTTTTTTCCCTTTTTTTAAATATCCCTCACTAATGTCTGTTATACACATTAAAAATGCTAGTTAAACGTTGCCAGAAGCAAAAAGGTGATACAGCCATAGCAAGAGTTAGCTGGGCTTCTTTATATTTTTGGTATGACTGAGATTTTTTTATAATGAGGTTCACTGGTTTTTCTTTTAATTCCAGTCAAAAATCCATTGTGTTCACTGTGTTCTCAAATGATATTGTGCTGGCTGAATAAATCTTGATGGCCAGAATCTTGATAGCTTTCCAGCAGCATTCATGTTTCCAATGAATCAGATTCTTTTTCATAGCAGATATCAAGAAAATCACAGGTGGAACTAATGATATCGACTATGGCTCTGTTCCAGCAAATAATGGCATGCTTGCAGCAATTAATAATGTTATTAGTTACACCTGTGCCTGACAAATCAGAGTGACTTGTGTTTACTCCATATTTTCCTCCAAGTGGAATAGAAAACTATTTAAAGTCAGACACCTTTTATTTTAAAAAATCTCTTAGATCTTAGTTGTAAAATAATACAAAGTGAATGTAAAAGTGTTTTATAATGCACACTGACTGTTGATACTTCAATAATTTTGAATGCCTGCTGGGACAAACCTGTAATTTCAGGTTATATACTGTAACTAAACTTGACTTGACGTGTGTGTGTGTGTGTGTGTGTGTGTGTGTGTGTGTTCAACACAAATAAAGAATGAAAACTGAGTAATCATGTTGTGTCATTTCATCTTCCTAATATCTGAGCTATGTGATAGCACTTGTCATCAAGTTTTTTGGAGTCAGTGTTCATGATAAAATCGGCTTTATTTTCTTTCTCTTGTGTTTGATCTAAGTGTATTCTCCAACATCAAATCAGACAACACCAGCTTCATTAAATGAATATACATATGCAGCTCAGTTTGCTTTATACATTTGGATTCTGTCTACGGACCTATTTAACTCACTTGTGCCGTCATATGTAATTAGAGACTGACAACTCAGCTTACCATATTAGCTTGTACTGCTCTGCATCTCCATTCAGAATAGTATGCTTACATGTGCATTTCACTACAGACTATCTGCTTATATTGTTAATGTACAGATGGAAATATTGCACAAATCGGATTTTAATTATCATACCTGTTCAGTAAATGTAAATAGATTAAAACTTAAAGCCACTGTGTGTATAATTTAAACCTGACCAACTTCATTAAGTTGACTTGAAGAATTTGTGCAGATTAATTTCAACAGCAGATTTCAAATTCGATTGGAATGAACCACTGACATACTTTATATACGATGGACATGGCATCCCCACTTCCTACCACTATGCAAACGTGAGGTCAAAATATTAGGAATAATGCAGCTGCCATCTTGCTTTTTTGCAACCAAATTCTGCACAGTAGCAACCAGAAGTGGAGTGACAGCATCAATCTGCCAACTAAAGCTGTCAAATCAACCAAAATACATCAGCGGCGATCATGTCAATGTAGCTTCACTTCGGGCAGTTATCAGGATGTCCATTGTTTTAGACTGTAATCCCTCCGTCCCCACTCTCACATGCAAATATTGGTGCAACCCAGTGATTTTCCCTCACTGTGATTTGCAATATGATAATTCTACACATGGTGGCTTTAAAAGCTTTCACATGAGCACAAAATGAGAAAAGAATCACATGGAACATTATTTCAAGGACAGCATTATAAACACAATTGCAATACACTTGATTATACTTGTCTGATGAAAACATACAGTGTGTGAGGTGTGTGTATTGTATGTTTTGTAACACAGTGCTGCAGTAGGAGGTCAGATTAACAGGCCTGTTTTGTTGATGGGAGAGCACCAGTGTGGCCTTGTTGTTGACCTCTGAAGACATAAAGACTCTTCATGAGTTCTTTCACACTCTGGTTCACTTGTAAACCCTGTCTCACCCTCATTCCTGGACTCCTACACCTTCATTTTTTCATCCATGAGCCCACTCTCCGCTGAGTGACAGAAGCCCAATGTCTATACAGAAGACTCAGCCTCCCACCACCAGTGGCCTTAGATTCGTTACACAGAAACAGAGTGAGAAAGTGACGTTATTTCTGTCATGACGCACCAAATGGATTTTGATGCTTCTACCTGCTTGCACATAAACCAATATAAATTTAAACCAGGGCTCATATTATGCTGTGACATTTTTTGCTTACTATCCTTGTTTCCATTTGTTATTGTCTTGAAAAAAAAATCTGATGAGATGCTTGGAGGACGGATTCCCCAATCTGCTCATTCAATCAACAGCTGTAAGAGGATACGTCAGAGATATACAGCTATTTGCTCAGTTAGGTCATTTGTATACAGTACCTCCAGTTAACATTTATGCATACATTACTTACATATAGTGCAGTTTATTAGTGTCAGCAGTCCTACTTTATCTCAACATGTTTTAATTTCAAATCTCACTCATTTTAATGGTTAGTTTACGTTTTCTGGCTAACAAAAGTGAAAGAGAGAAGGTGCTGCTTCTATGCTGGCCTCATCCTAAAGAATCAGGAGAAAATGTTTGAAAAGTTGATTGTGAAAACACCTGTAAGTAGTGCAAAGGGCCTGCCGACATGTACAGTAGAGGTACATTACAGGGTTTAAAGATCACCAAGATCAAATGAAGCAGATCCAGGAGCTCCAACACTCCATTCACAGTCTTCCATTCAGCAACACTGATTTAACTACAGAGTTACATAGTTACTATAGGTGGCTGCAAGGTTTTTACCATTGTCCATGTCCACAAATAGAATGAATGCTACAACTATTAACCAGTATTCTGTCAGTAAAACGGTCTCAGAAATGTCAAAACACATAACCGTCACACATCCTAATACACCATATATCTTTAAAGACCATGAGTCTGAGGAGCAACTTTTCCATTAACATGTCATCTCACCAAAAATCCTGGTTTTTAATACCAAGTGCCCAACGCTTGTTTACCAGATTCCCACTTCCTACTAGCACAATGCTACATTTTTCCTTAGTACTTTACTTTCTCTCTGTAAGGCCACAGGACAAAGCATGTAAATATAGCTCATGAGATACTTAACGATTTGAGATTACTCACATGAAAAAGGCCATGAGGTTGAATTCAGATCAGCTTACACTATACACTTTTATAATATGGCATGTGCTACAAATATACACTGATTCAAGTTCAAGAGGTTGGTGTTGAAACTGATGAGAAGCCCCTTATCCCATACGACATCATCATCATTTTGTCAGCCAGTGGAAAAACAATAAAACTCATCTAAATCAAAGTCTGATTTAGGATGTGGATGTTGTCCTCCTGCTGATTTGTCATCCTATCTCTTAAACATGTTGGATGGAGGAGATCAGTCAAGTCCACAGCAGAATTCCTTAGCCTGTTTCGTTCCTCTGACATCCTTCAATGCCATTAAGGTCATTTTGACCATTAATCCCCCAATCATAAAAATAAAGCCAGAGTCTGTTCCATTCTGTGAACCGCTGAGGTAAAACTTTTCAATTCCAATCCAATTACTTGCCAAAAGTCACACATCATCATCATCATCATCAGTCTGCCTCAGCCTCCTCTCATGAATCTGTCCTCGCTGGCTCCCTCTTCGAGGAAGCTGACCAACAGAATCTCGACAAAGCACGTATTGTTTCCAGATTTTACGGAACGCTGTGCGGAATTTCTTGATGCGGAAAGCGTAAACGATGGGATTGACGGCAGAGTTGCCATGGGTAAGGATGATGGCAATGTAAATGAGGATCACTGGTTTGTTGCAGTCAGGGCAGAAGAGGGTGATGCAGTTGACAATGTGAAGAGGAAGCCAGCTGATTGCAAAGAGGAAAAGAACAAAGGCAAGCGACTTGGCTAGCTTGAGTTCTTTGCCAAAGTAACGTCTTGGGTCTGTGTGGCTTGCTGACACCTACAGAGAGATAAAGAAGAAGATTACATAAATGTAGCTTTCTAATAATTTTACATTAAAGTTGCTTTAATAGCAATTAGTCTACTGATTGTTGCACATCAGACAAAGCAACCATGTCCTGCAAGAAAGTCTTACCTTTTTGTTGAGTTGCTTGTGGATCATGTAGAAAATCTCAGCATAGATGGCCAGCATGAGTAACAGAGGGGGAAGCACCCAGCCAAAGAAGTTGAAGTAGACCATATAGTCCATGCTTATGACTGTCTCAAACTCACAGGTCACCAAAAGGTCATCAGTGATCAAGGAGCCATTGTCACGGAGACGCTGCAGGTTATTCCAGCCCAACATGGGCGTGAGGCCCACTATTATGGACACCGACCAACACAACAACACAGCCGTGCCAGCTCGCCAAGGGGTCACCACCCGCCTGTAGCTATGGCGACAAGAGAGAGGATAAAGCATTGAGAAAAATTTTTAGTGGAGAGATGCAGAGTATGGCGACGTGCCACAGCTCAGGATAACACTGGACTCAAATGCACAACTCAGGGACACCATGCAAAAATAAAACTGTTCACTTTTATTAAAGCTGCTAAGTGGTTAATTGCGAGGTCAGCGGCAGACAAGCAAAAACACCAGGCAAATGAGACAAAAAAACAACAGGCTGGCTGAAAGGCTACAGCTGCTATGGCAAATTAGCAGAAGGTAAGTGAAAATGGGATGGCATACTTACTAGGGAGCTCATGAGGAGGGTAGGGGTGTGGGGAGTTAGATGACTGGGAAAGTGAGAAAACTCGGGTAAATGCAAAGCAGGTGGCAGAATCTGAAATGATGAGGCACTTAATGGAATGGCAAAGGCAGGCAAGGAATAAGTGAATAAATATGAATAAACTGAAATAATGCTATTTTTGCAAAATTGATATCTGAGCAAGTTTTTAATTTTTTTATCTGCTCCATACAAAGTATTATCAAAAACTAAATGCTGGTACTAACAAGGTAAACAAGAGTTTTCTTCCTGTGGGCGTCCACGCTCCGACCATCCTCCATACATGTTTGTTCAACATAGCGCCTTTGTCGGATGATGCCATAGTCCAGTGCAGCTAAAGCTTTACCAGATCCAAGTTTTTCACAGCACAGGGCTGCATTATTTTACTGGAGCCCCCTGCAGTGTTGGTGCCAGCTGTGGTGAACACAGTCCCTCATAGAAATGAGTGAAGAGAGCTGTGTTTTTTCAAACCTCTGAAACTCAGAATGTGGCCTTAAGGTTGAATGGGTGTTGAATTATCTTAGGAGGGAGGTGTGGACCACATTGTACTGTAAATGGCTGATAGACCACCTCTGCTGTTTGATGATGGTTGTTTTAGTTTGATGTAGCTGGCCTCTTTTCCTCCTCTTTTCAAACCATCTGTCTTTTCTGGCCAAGCTGTGTACACTGCTGTCTTCAAAGGTGTGTCCTTGTCTTTCAGATGCAGGTGGACTGCTGAGTCTTGTCCTGAGTTGGCTCTCTTGTGTTGTGCCATGATGGCCAGTCCAGTTGGCAACTTTAGCACTTTGGCTATACTGTCAAAAATTGCTACACTTTAGGTGCTTTTGGACTGGACAAACATTTTATAGCTCTTAGAACTATTGGAAAAAGTGCCCCCTTTTTTTACATGCCCACACCAGAGGAACTGAGAATAATAATAATTGTTAGAATGCCATTTTGAGGGACTTCTTTAGCTCCTACTTTATGGTAGGTACTCTGCAAGGGCAATAGGAACCATGGGTTACATACAGTACTTGTACGTTGACCGCAGCAGCGCTGTAATTTTTTTAAAAACCAACCATGTACAGGGATCACTATAGCCATCGCCAGTAGCATGGGGAGCTGCAGTCATCCAACGTAAGCCTCTGCAGAGTGTTAGTGGCAATCTAAAAGAGTATTTTGTTTTGTTGTATCTTGTTTTATAGGCAATCCATTACCACAGTCAAATCATTAGCAAATTGTAGCCCGAGGTCTTCTTTCCACTTTTAAAGCAAGACTATGCTGACCTTTTGTTGAAGAAAATTCACTGCTGCCACATGAAACGATTACAAGATGATGGAAAATGGTAAGACATAAAATGTAGCAAAAGTGGAGAAGAAAAATAAGTCAACAAATTGGTTGAGTAATGACAGTTATATAACATAACATTTCTCAGGTTTGTTAATTCATAACCTTAACCTTTAGAAGCCATAAATCAGAGCAGACCCAGTGAGGCTGTATCAACAAAACTCCTGAGGGTGTTGTATTTGTCACTGGTGTATTGTATTGCTGCTAAATTTAAATTTTTATCTGTCAAAGAAAGAATGGGTTATTTCATCTTTCAAAAGTTACATCGTGTTGCTTTAGGGCTGCAGTTCACGGGGTTGTTGTAATAGACTGAATTATAAACCATTACAGCTATTTTGTCCTGTAATTCCCATGGCTTTTGGATCTGTGTGACATGTTAGCTGATGGAAGAGTATCTCTAAAATCTTCCTTTTTTGGAAATCACAAGAGTTAGGTTAAGAAAAGAAAAACTGTGGGTGTTTGCCTAACATAACTGTTTGAAATTCTTTGGTAGCTTAATAGGATGTCATTAGTTCTGTCTCTCTACATAATGGTCAGTTAATGGAGAGGTCCATGAAAGATTCCTGTGGTAGACTGTTTTAAATTCATTTCTATAGAGTAAAAGCTGACTTAACCAGATGAAAGGGGTGAGCAACAAATTTCAGGAGCATTTTCTTCCTCTCACACTCCCACTCTCTTGCACATTTTTCTCTCTCTTGCCTGCTTCTTGGCTAACCCTGCTAACGCTAACACAGAGATACACACTTAAATATGTGCCAGAGCAAAATTTCATATTTTTTCGTTTTGCTTTTCCTTTGTTTACTCTCAATTGCTCATATTTCAAGCACTCTGACATAAAAGCCAGAGTGAGGCAGAAACAACACACTACCAATGAGTGAAAGGATTTTAAAAACAGACCATGTCTGGACTAGGTTTTCCATTATGTGACGTCAGGTTTTATATCAGCTTGTGTACTCATAACCCTCCATACAGCTGCTCGTAAAACATGACTGTCTGTCTGCATACAGATCAGCTGTTAGCCTGACAGAAATTGCTTTCTGGATTTGACTGCTGTCCATCTACCTCTATGTCCCTGTGGGATTTTGATCGTCTCCCACCTGTAAATCTTATCCTCCAGCCAAGCACACCAGACAGACCACCCTTATCATGACAGTGTGCTTCCAAACCACCTCTGCTATAAAAAGCATTAAGTGCATGTTAAAATGTGTCCTGCAAGAGTTCCAGGGGTGATTTAGGGAGGGGGGACTCATTTTGGCTCACGTTATCACTTTACCAAAGGAGAGTGAAAAAAGAAATTATCAGTGCTGGTGAAATGTGAAAATGTCCACATGAAAATCTCTGGCGAAAACGGACCACCAGTGAGGTGGAAATACATTTTCTCAGATTGGTGACTCAGTAAAATATACTTCTTTTTTATTTTTCCTTTGCAGCACCAGCACCCCTTTTTGTTACAGTAATATTTTAAGACTTGATACAAATATTTACAGATAAAATAAAGACCATAATCATTATAATACAACCTTTTTGGCAGATTTTGAACAACTTAGTGACACAGTACACTGTATTGTATTGTACTGTATTAAAAACCTCTCAGTGTGCATCTTTTCATACTATCTGTTGGTTGCTTGAGAAATTATGCAATCCACCTACCAGCCACAATAAGACTATTGACTAGTCATGCGTACTCTCCAACCAGAAGTGGAGCTTTCATGTCATGATGAGGCAAAGTGTAAAATGATGATAAAATTCACCACACAACAGAAACACCAGTTTCCGCCGTGACACTGACCAAGCCAGAGCAAAAGGGATCAAGATAACATGTATGACTTCCACATTCTTGCACAAGTTTTGCTCTGGCGTGCTAAATGGCCCGGACTCTTCTTCAGATCTTGGGCATCCTAATGTAAATGCTAAATATGTAAATAGACTAAATACCAAGATCATCTTTACTCATCTATTTATATAATATCTGCTATATGTTTGTAGCTGAAGTACATAAACTTTCAAAAACAATACTATAGCCAAACCAGTTTTATAGAGGCACTAAGCAACAGTCACAAAAGCTCTGCTCCCTTTCAATCATAAAATTTGTATGACTGGAGGAAATGATGTGTTGGAAATCTAGATGAAATAAATAAATAAAAGAAATGAAATATATGGGCTATGTGTGCATTTATGAGTAAGTACAAATATCCTTTGTGTATGAAAATGTCACAGTCTTACAAGCCACCGAATTTCCGCTGTAATTTCCAGCAAGATGTCAGAGCTGATTAATGCAGCCCTAGATGAAGGGTTGTGTGCGGTGATTCAAATTGTCGGACGCACCTTTGCTCCACATATTACAGTCATTTATGGATGGAGGTGAAATATAAATCCCGTATGACACTGGAATGACCGTTCGACTTGTGCCCTTGGTCCGAGCAGCGATCGACAGATACGGGCTTTCGATAAATAGGACAAGATATTGAAAACTAGAGGAATTCACCTTTGGGCCTACCTCATGGGTATTTTGACTCTCAGATAGCGATCGATGGCGATGGCCAGCAGTGCCAGGATCGAACTTTGCGTGAGGACGAGCACTGTGCAGGCGACCATCAAGCAACTGTAGAAGTGCGTCTGGAGTCCGATGCTGATGGTTATGGCGAGGGGGATGACAAGAGCCCCGACCGCAATGTCAGCCAAGGCCAGGGAGACGATGAAACAAAACGTGGTGTCTCTCAGAGACCGGTTAATACGCACAGCCCAGACCACCATCACGTTCCCGATGACCGAGGACAAGGCGATCACCACCTCCATGCAGATGTACAGGGTTTTAGACGGAGGCAGACCCGAAGTCATGATCACCAATGCTGGATAGGTGTGCGCTCAACGGAGAAACAGCCGAAACACGTCGAAGGAGTTCCCTGTTGGAGTTTTTGGGCACCGATGGAGACACCCTGACTTAGGAGTCGCATGTTTTATGCCCCGCAGATGTAGAGGTATAGTGTCTGATGCTCGGAATTATTTTATAGTCTAGTCCAGGACATCTGCGCACCTGACCCAGAACTTGGTCACCGTTCCCAAAGGACGACTTTAAGAATGAAGTGGCCCCCGCAGTCCTGTGGGCGGACAGGACGGAGCCCGGTTACTGAATGAGTCACAGCCAGGTTCCCAAGGCGCGGATTCGGCTTTCAACAATGCCGCTTTCCTCGATGTCAGTCACGTGTCAAATATAAACAGCATAAGTCCCAGTGTCAGTTTCCGTAGAAGTCCGAATCATTTTGACAACTGCGCAGGCTTTATGATTCCATCTGGACATAGTTGGCCAAGACAAGCGACTGTCCATTTCCCCGTTTCTCGTCAAATAATCCCACTTAAGATATGGTGAGATCACGCATGGAGTTCAGATTATTATTAAAACCTCCTCTCATCTTCTTTCTGAGAGTCACATGTGTCACTGAAAGCTTGCCCTCTATGGGAGTAAACACACTGAGACCTGAGGAGGAGAATCAAACCTGGTTTCACATGCCAGTTGCATCTTATAGGCTACCCATTTTCAGATATATCACATTTGTTTGAATGTGATAAAAAAAATACTTTTTTAGAATGCCTAAACATATAGCTATTAGTATGCTCACTCACAGTACAGTGCCCTCACAGGCAATGTGTTGGTTTGCAAATGGAACTGCAGTTTTTGAACAGAAACACTAGACAAACTCACCGTTTTCTACAATCTGACAAAAATACCAGTCAACACATCATGTTTAGCCCATGGACCATGCGACGCAATGAACAGTAATTTCAAGGCACAAGGAAGGGTTAAGTGTGCATGTACTGAAACAAACATAGGTTTATATTACTGATGTCTGAATCTTGCATAACATAATATAACACTTTTAATCTGATACCACACCCACCACCACAACTAAGTGCATGATGAACACACATACTATATATATTGAAATACACATGCTCATATGTTTATACCCCCCACAACAGGCCAAGCCTATTTACACATGAAATCAGTGCGTAACATACATCCAGTTAAAAACCCAAAACACATCCTGCCACAAGTCTAAATCAACATCATAGTCATTGACAGTGACCAATATTGCTTGTCTACTAGTGTACAAGGATGATTTCACACTAAGATGCTGCTTTTTTACCATTTAAGTTCTTGCATCTATTTTTAGCCACTGTGAGTCAGAGTAACTAACTGGTTCACTGAAAAGTCAAGTTTGTGTGGCAGTTAAAAAACAGAATCATCTCTGAAGATCAAATTTAAGTGTTTCCATGTAAATGAAGGCTCCGGTTCTTCCTAGCAGGCTTTGGGTGGTCTGTATCAGTGCTTTCCATTCCTATGATTCAGCTCTGTGTAGTCTTACTTGATTATCTTCCAAAAGTCTTATATTTCTGTCAGGAAAACCTAATATTTATGACACATGATATGAGTCCAACCTTCTGCTGACCTTCTGTAATCACTTAGAGCAATCCTGAAAATTTATATAGATGCACCAAGAAACGATCCCTTATTCTATGACTCACAAAAGAACCATGTTTATTTCTCTGACCTAAGTGCAGCCTTTGGCATAGTGGACAGGGATAATTTAGTAACTTGTCTTAACACTTGGGTTGCTCAGACCATTTTAACCGTACCTTTGAGATCACACATTTGCTGTTAATATTGGCACCGTTTTAAGCACCTCTGGTTGTGGTGGTGTGCCCCAAGGCTTGATTCTAGAGCCAGATTTATTCTGCTGCCCTTAGGTCAGATTTTACAGAATCATAATGGTTCTTATTTTTATGTGGGTGATACAGCTATGACAGTCCCTGTGATCTAGTGTTTCTAACAACCTAGCTGCTCTTTTACTGTTTTAATTGTTTACATTTTTGGATAACCAACATTTTTTTTACATTTACATCAGTCTGAATCTGACATTTTAATATTTGGAGCTAACACACTATGTGATTTTATGAATTATTTTGGACCAAATTGGCAAATGTTAAATCAACAGCAAGAAATCTAGGTGTCACCTTTTTCTCAGACATCACATTTGAGTCACACATGAAGAAAATAGTTTAGTCACGCTTTTCCTTCCTTAAAAGAATCACCAAAATAAAGCACATGCTCTCTCATCATGACATGACACTCATCTTCATTGTAACTCATGACTCACAGGAATCAGCCAAAAATTACTTTCACTCCTTCAGCTGGTTTTTAACATGACATCTCATAATCCAAACCTCACATTATTGGTGTTTGATCGCAAATACAGGACATAAATAGAGAAGACTTTGCTTTGCACAGCTGTTTGTTTTTTATGTTTTATAATAAATATAATATATTTTACAGGTTTTCTTTTTCACAGAAAAGTCATTACAGAAATAGTGATTATTTTTTCAGTGACAAAGAAATAAGTTTCTTTTGTACATGTGCATATTGTACAACAACACTGCCTGGGGTACCACACTGCAATAACCCTTTGCTCCTGATTTTATCTTCCTCAGGATTAGCTTCTTCTGCTACTGTATACTACCTGCTGCCAGTCAAGTGGAGGACAGTGGTCCAAACTGAAACAAGGATCTACAGTAATCCCAGGAGTGTCAAACTGTGTCTGGAAGCTCTTGTAATTAAGACAGGTCAGGCAAGGACTATTTTTCACAATGGCCAGCTTCAGCTGCAAGCTGTCACTTCCAGCTCGGGTCCCTCTGAGCCTACAGGTGTGGTTGGACAGGCAGCATGAGATAAAATCACAGCCGAACTGAATCGGTTATTTTGTCACACATCAGACTCAGGCAGGAGCCTCTGTGTCTGGAGCATCTACCAGTCTACATAAGTCTCCCATTCTGGCAGACTAAAGATGTGGTGGTACTATGATAAATCTCTATATTGTTGCTTCATCTGTCATTCATAGCATTTGCAATTTTTGTGCAAGCTTGAGCCCTTTCAGGCAGTGTCTCACGTCAAAAGAAACAGTGATGCATTGTATTTGTAAATGAAGAAGTTATTCTGTGCACTCGCTCTTTTGTACAGTATTAAACCACAAGATGATGAGCAATGTATACTCATACACTTAACAGTCTCTGATCACTTCTTTACTACCCATGTGCATGAGATTCATAATTGTCATGACATCATTTTTCAGTGCTGAGTGCAGGGCAGCTTTACTGGACTGAAAGTATATATGATCGTAATGCAATTATGGAAGCACACTAGGTCCATAAACATTGAAACTGGTCTTTCACTGTGCTATAGCTTTGTAGCATTGCATCCAAAAAGATGTTTAACATATTATACTAGTCCAAAATCAGACAAGATAAAAAAAATTGTATCACATGACGAGAAAAAAACTTAAAGAAAAAGCTCTTATGTGCATCTATGTTTATATATGTGGGTGAACCAAACTGAATTGCATTGCACTGACATGACTTGAATTGAATTACCCTATAATGCTGTTTTCAAATTTTGTTTTACTGTATATGTTTCTCTTTCTTTCCAAAGAATGAACCCTCACAGACCTGTTGAATGTTTCCCAGTTTGCACTGAAATCCATTGTGTTGAATCTGTGTGGTGGCTGTTGAAGCATGAAATTTCAGGGGGAGAGAACATGCAGTTCCTCATCATGGCTCTCCTGCACTAAATGGAGTGAACTGTTCAGACATTTTACTGTTTGGGCGAGCCTTATATCACAAGTATTTTAGTTGCTCAGCTATAACAAAATGTGGGCTAAAACTCAAAGGTGCAATGTGAAATTCCAAAAATCTGTGTTTATGCTTTTCAGCCAGTAAGACTCAGAACTGGTGCAGTGGTTAATTGCAATGTGAGAATTAAAACATGTTCATATTTAATAACTATGTCAAATTATACTGACAAGCCTCAAATGGGTGCTATACTTTTGAAAGATATTGATTCTGATAGACGTGTTAAAAAAAAGGCAAACTATGATGCTGATACTTCTGGACCCTGAAAATGATGTGTCCACCAGTCTGCTGTTCCCCCCATTATCTTTGTTCCACTATCCCACAGCAGTAATGGTCTAGAGTCTACTGTTGAAGTGCTGCATTATCAGTGAAGACATTCAAGGTAATGATTGTACAGTTGTTTTGTCTGCTCTGACACTGTACAGCACAATGGTATCTGGAACCACTGCTCTTTTAGTTATGCCACAAACTTTATATTTATATGATGTGAGACTGATGTGTTATTTTATGCTGAATTGCTCATAACTTCTGCAGAATTTTGAGGTCAATGGTTGCATTTTATTTTTAACTGTGAAACAATTTTTAAGCACATCACAAAAACTACAGCTTTCTGTGTGCACAAGTATTTCACAGTTTTGTCCATACATGCATCAGTTTTCTATACTGCTTATTCTGTAGAGGATCAGAGGAGCTGGGGCCAAACAACTTGGTTCTTTTATGTAAGTATATACAATTAATCAGCTATAACTGTTACTACATCACATCAGTCACCATGAAGCCTTCAGACAGATTCCTCTGTCCCATGCACAAAGCTAGTGTAATTGGTCAGCTACATCATAAATCTTGCAAGGCCCCTGGCATTTGAGCACATTAGCTCATTAAGTGATTCCTCCAAATGGCAGTGTACAATATGCACTGTGTAGTCTTCTGTCTTCTCTGTGATCTACTGTCTTACTGTGGTGTTTCAACATATGTGTGCCATCATTTCTGTAATGAATGACTCATCCAGTCAAATTTTAATAAATGTTTATGTGACTACGTAATTGCTGTAAACATTTATTGGCCTCTAGAGGCCAAGTCTATGAACGAGTTATTGTTTCTCTAGAGGGATGGGACAGTATATGCTGGTTTCTCACAGTGATGACCTGAGGGTGCTCACGGAGAGTCGGATGTTTGTGGCTATAATTTTGAAATGTGTATAGGTTTTGTAGCCATGATGCAACCGATTAGTTGAGGTCGAGATTGCTCCTACAGTATCTTTTTTTTTTTCATAAAAAAATTTGCTTGTAGAGTAAGATTGTGTAAATAAAATACTTTAGGTTCAAAAGTTTTCTTTACTGCAGCCTCCACTCGCAACATTTTTATTCAAGCCCAGGAAATTTTGCCTCATTATTTCATATTTTGTTATTGGGGACAGGTTTGACTCACCTGTAGCCATGGGGCTGGATGCTGTATCACCCATGCAAAAACCTATCTTCTAACAAGGCAGGTGATGATAGCAGCAGCATTTCCTCTCTTGAGGCAATTCAGGCTTTTTTGATTGGTAAAACATGCACAAACAACAAATCAAAGTTTAAAATAGACTTACTTATACCCGTTGTCATTTTACAACCATTCCACTGTTTATTACTTGGCAATTAAGGGGCTAGATGA